CACACACACACACACACACACACAAATAAATAAATAAAATAGTTTATAAAGAAGCAGTAACACATGAGCTAAGAAGCAGTTACACATGAGCTAAGAATCTATAATGATATCTCAGCACTAATTTTATATTTACGTGTGTGTGTGTGTGTGTGCATGTGTTTGTGTGTGTGTTGCTTTTTAAGATAAGATCTTGATACATAGTTCAGGCTGGACTTGAACTTACTATGTCGCCCATGCCAGCCTCAACCTCCTAACTGCTGGGGTAAAGGCCTGCCCACCATACCTGGCTTATATATTTAGTTTTTTAAAAAGAATAACAAGGGAGACTGGGTGTGGTGGTTCATGCCTGTGATCCCAGCTCTTGAGAGGCTGTAAACAGGTGATTCATTACAAGTCTGATCTAGTAGTGAGACCCTGAACACCTTGTACACCCTTCCCTAAAATACAAAAATAATAATAATAAAATAAAAATTAAAAAAAAAAAAGCAAGGGCCGGCAAGATAGCTCAGCAGACAAAGCACCTGCTTTGGCAAGCACAGGGACCAGGGAATCCCAGTCCCGCTTGCCACACTGGCCCTGCCCCCGGGACACACTGAGCCAGCAACAGTATGGGCGTGGTGGCACATGCCTATAATCCCAACGCTGGGGAAGCTGAAAACAGGAAGAGCACCACAAGTCTGATCTGCATAGTGAGACCCTATATCAAATACACACACACACACACACACACACACACACACACACGAATAGCTGTGTGGGTTTGAAGAGTTTTGTGTATTTGTTTGTTTTTTTGGAAAGAGTCTTGCAGTGCAGTCCAGGCTGGTTTTGAACTTACTGTGCAAGCTCAGGCTAGCCTCAAATTCACAACAGTCTTCCTGCTTTAACCTCCCAAGTTCTAGGGGTACATCAACATGCAAGGCCTTAAAACACAATAGTATTTACTATTATTTTGTGTGGATGGTGTCAGGGAATGAACCTAGGACTTTGTTCTGGCAAACACTCCACCACTGAGCTATGTCCACATCCTATATTTACATTTTAATCAGAAAGAGGAAACAGCAACAATAAAAGCTTCATAAATTATCTCTGATAAAATTCTTAATCAAAGTAGTTAAGTTCTATCTGAAAAACTATGGTGACTCTGATTATCAAATCTGTCCTTAAATTGGCTTTGTAAACTAGTGTGAAACAAACTGAGGTGAGGTGTAGAAAGTCAGGTAAGATCAGGAATGAGAAAGACTCATTGTCTTCATAGTCAGGAGGCCAGCAGTGACTGCATTGGCTTCAGGGAGAGGAGTGGGAAGGCTGGAAACCAGAGCATGGTGAACTGGGGAGGGAAGTAGATGCAGCAGGTAGAGACTGTGATTATAAGAAACTTGGCTACAAGAGCAAACAAAACAAAGGCCATTGTCTAGAAAAAAATGTAGGGTGAAAGCATTTTTCAGGTAGAGGCATTGTTAAATAAGCACTGATGGGAAGGAGCAAGTGGAGGGGACACAGGAGTGATTGCAGAGAGAGGCAGGAGTCTGTGGGGGCTGTGGCAGGGGCAGAAGTCCAGAGCTCAGTTCTCTTAATTTGAGGAGTTAAGTGGCAGGGAGAGGAGGGAGGCTTGGCACGAGAGAACAGTTCTTCTACTCAGATCAATGGTCAGATCACAGGTAGATATGCTTAAGATAAATGACCTTGATTTGCTGACATAGAAATGAGAGAGGAAGGAACAGCTACAAAAGACCGAGGTCCAGGTGTAGTAGCCTCCCAGGAAGCAGTGAGGCAGAGCAGTCTAACCTTAGAGGCTTGCTGAAGCCATGAATTCATGCAAGCTCAATCCTCAGCCCTAGACTGATTTCTCATAGTGTTCAGCACTTCTGCTGAGAAATTATAGGCTTGTTTTAGAGTTAGTTTGGCAAGTGGAAGGATAGGAAATAAATAGCTATACTATTTATTGAATTCCCATATGCTAGGCTATTTTAAGGTTGTTACACATGTTAACTTGTATGTAAAAACAAACCATTGAGATCATTACTGTTGTTACTCCCATTTTCCAAATGGGACAACAAAAATTTAAGAGAAGTCAGGTAACTATCTCAAAGCCTGAAACCCTAGCATCCTGCTACAATACCCACATAGGTGAGATCTTAACCACTAGCTTGTCTTTGACTCAGTAAGGTGTCAGTCTGGAAGAGCCAGGCTGGCAAGGTCAGGTGGTACAGAAAGGAGTCTGAGACTGTTTGTGTGTAAGAGAGAGAGAGAGAGAGAGAGAGAGAGAGAGAGAGAGAGAGAGAGAGAGCGCTAGTATGTATGGGGTATTATTTTAATATTTTTTTAAAAGTCCTCATTTTCTGCCAACACTCATTTTATATTTTTAGAGTTCAACGTATTTCCAGGCTATGACTACAAGAATCATTTGCTCAGAAACCCACAAAATGGAGAGTGTAGTGCTAGTGCATTGTGTTGGAAAGCTTCAGACAGAGTTGGAAGATCCAAGCAGTAGCACTAACTGTGCTTCAGAGTTTTGTGTGACCTTGAGGAAAGAATCCCTTTCCCTTTTGAGTTATGCATGCATACATAGACACACACATTCATTCTCTCTCTCTCTCTCTCTCTCTCTCTCTCTCTCTCTCTCGCCCTCTCCCCTAGGTTTGTTTCATAGAGTGGGATGTTGGCCAACATTCACAGGCCTCCCAATTGCAGTGGAGAAATTTCTATCATGGGGGAGCTGACTCAAGGTTGGCGAGGACAGTATAGAAAACTCCCTGCTTTCTGCCAGGCCAGTCTTTGTGATACAGAGAAGTTCCCAAAGCACTGGAGTAATTGCCTGCATACAGCCAGAATTTCAGGTTTAAATTGCTTGCAGTCACTTCAAGGAGACCAAGATGTTGCCTCAGAGTGAGCTATTTTTAGCACTTCTGAGTACCCTAAGATGTCATCTGTTCATGATGGAGGAAGCCTTTTAGTTTTTCATTGGTCCTGAAAACAGTGTGGATATTTCCAAGATCTTAACCATTTGTGGGACCTTCTGTAATCTGTCTGGAAGCAGGAGCCAGCCAAGATTTTGCTTTCACAATCAGGAAAACAAAGTGTTTGTCATGTTAATGACAATCCTACTTGAAAATGAAAGGAAGGATAACCAGGATAAATAACATAAATAAAAATGAAATACCTCCTCAAAAGAATCTGTTCACAAAGCAGTTTATCAACTCACTTGATTTCATAATATCCTATAAAGTGTAGACATATTATTCCCATTTTACAAGCAAGAAATGTGAGGAAGGGTAGAGGAAGGAACGTGCATTCTCAATAACTGCCTTGAGTACTTGCCTAGCAAGCTTAAGGTCCTGAGCAATCTCCAGTACTGAAAAAAAGGAAAAGCAATCAATACCTGCTTTGATCCAGGTACTGTGCAAGTACAATTGGCCACTTAACCTTAATCTTGTGAGTTAGAGCTTCTTGCTCCAATTTTGTTCAGAGAGGTCAAGTAGATTGTCTTAAGTGACACAGCTAAAAGATCAGTAGAGCTGGGATTCAAACCCACTATTCTGACCATGAGCCTGTGCTCCTTCTGTAGTACCACACTGTCCCGGACGCTTCAAGGATGGAATGACTCTGCACTGAGCCTCTCACTCTGTAATGTTAAGAGACCATGATGGCAAGATTGTCCCAGATCTTCATTTGTTCTACACATAAGGCCTCTCTCATACATGAAGTCCCTCTACAGTTTTTTGTGTTCTCATCGTGGATAAGTACATTGCAGGATCTGGGACTTGTTCACATCAGGTAGCTTCTCTGTTAGCTGTGTGGAAGATGCCATTATGGAATCTAGAAAGGTGCCCCTGTACAATGGGCAAACTTTTCCTAGATGGCAAGTCTGTCACCTTCTCCAGGGTAGCAGCTCTTCACATCCTCTACATTCACCATTTCTCATGCAGCCTGGGGAAAACTGCTATCTCAAAACAAAGTCTGTTTTATGTAACTGTAATATGCACAACTTTGCACAGATTCTTAGTGGTAATTTCAACTAACGTTTCTATCCAACAGAATTTCAGTTCCTGCATTCAGCTTATGGTAGGAGAGCTATTTTCCTCATTGTATTACGGCCTATGAATGTGTTATTTTGTAACAATGGTAGATCCCTCTCCTTCCCTCCCCCAATCCCATCCCCTAGGCTTGGGCTCCCCCCAGGTGGCTCAGCAGCAGTTCCTAAAGCATGCAGGAACATGTCTGATGGTGCAAAATCATGGGTTGGAGACACACATGAACCATTTCCCTAGGGCAGCAATGAGGGATCATGGCACTGAAAGACATCTCTCACCCTAACCTGGCTGGTGAATTCAAACAAATGAACAATTACAGGGCCTGTATGTGGCTTCTCTGTTGGCTTTGTGGCAGCCCCTATAAAGGATTCCCTGAATTATGCCTGTAAAACTCAAATACCAGTCTGCCTCAGGGTCAGATTTTTCATTTTCATTGGCAGTCTGACATGTTTGAAGACCTGGTTGACTTCAGATACAGTCTGTTTTCTTAGCCCAGACCTTGATCTCTGGACTCATTTGGGGGAATATTTTCTTGGATGGTAAAAAGGAGGGGCCACATGTGCCAATGAGTGAGGAATCAGAGCTAAGTTCTCAGGGCAGTGTGGACTCCAGGCCCAAGGCACCACGGGAACTTCTGGGCACCTGTGAGGGTCCCAGCAGTATAACCTGACTAGGTCCTTTTTGTCATAGACAGGAAGGGACCAAGGAGGGAACTTGTTACTTATACACCTTCACCTGGGCTACTCAGGACAGTGTTTTTGTGAAATTTCTGTACACTTTGATTACTTGAATATCTGGAATTGAATTTATATATAGCACATCTTTTAGAACTATGAAATTTCTTGCCACTGGTGTGAACTGTGTGATCTTGGGCAATTTGCTAGTATCTCTAGGCCTTCTATAAAGTGTTTTATTCCATATGATCTCTGAGATTTCTTTAAATGTTAACATCACCTTCTCTTAGAATTTTATTATTTCAACATTACTGTGTACAGACAGATATGTTTTACTTTATGGAAAGTCTGTTTCTTTTTTCTTTTTGGTCTCAAGATATGATAGAGGAGGGGGGCCTGGCCCTCACTCAGTCCTTTAAGTGGCTGCTTCCACAAAGCTGTCAGCCTCAGGTTGCTGGAGTTCGAACCTCACAACTCTCCTGCTGGCCAAAAGCGCCCTGAAGGCATTCGAGGAACAAAAAAAAAAAAAACAAAAAAAAAACACCTTATTCCATGGTCGGGGAGATGGCTCAGTAGAATAAGCGCTTGGCTGGCAAGTGCAAGGACATGAGTTCAATCCCTGGTTCCGCCAAACAAAATTTAAAAAAAAAAAAAAAAGCTTCTGCAGACAAACAAAAACAACTGAGTGGAAAGACAAGCTATATAGAATGAAAGATACAATAGAGGAACTCAAAAGACTCCTTGAAAAGTTAGAAAGAAAAAAAAAGTTAGAAAGTCTCATGTTTTCTCATCCTTTGAGTTACAGCATGTGAGATGAAGATGCATGAAGAATATGTATGAAATATTTCACTTAACAAAATATTCTATGCGAGGACCTAAGTTGGCTCTTTTTGTCATAAGACAAAATTTCGTCAAAGATAAAATTCTCCACTCTCAAGGAGTTGCTAGCTTGTTAAGAAGACAGTCAAACCATCTAAGAACAGGACCTTCTAGGGTTACTGGGATTGTCAGTTGTAGGGGATGCTTTAGGGTTTGTGGCTAGAGGTGGGGAGAAGAAAGATTTCACAGTAGATGGTAGTTTTTAGTTATGATTAACAGATGAATACATGCTTAGCATGTGGAGTGAGAAGAGACAAGTCAGAAGAGCTAGCCATGTGGACAAACCATGGAGATGTACAGTTCCTCGGCATCTTCTGGGAATGATAAACAGTTTGTGTGCTATAGTGTGGGTTGTAGAGCGAAAGTGATGAGTCTAGAGAGACCATCCAGACTAGATCCTGGGACCTAGAGTACTAACAAGGAATACAAACTGGAGTTTTAGGAATTCTAGCCAGTGCAGAGCCTTGTGATATTGTTAAGACAGAACATTTTGTGGTTAGATTTAGGCCTTAGGTCACTTAGTTTAGAGATTAAAGGGACAGGTTTAAAAATAAAAGCTGGATATGGTGGTATTTGTTTGTAATCCCTACACTCAGGGAGGTGGAGATAGGCTATTTATTTGCAAGTCTGAGCACAACCTGGGCAATTTAGCAAGGCTTTGTCTGAAAAAATATTTTTGTTCAAAATTTAAAAAATAGGGGCCAGGGAGATGGCTCAGTAGAATAAGTGCTTTGAGGGCCTGAGTTCAATCTCTGGTTCCACCCAAATAAATAAATAAATAAATAAATAAATAAATATAAAAAATAAAAAATAAGTAAAAAGAGCTAGAGGTGTAGTTCAGCCCAGAGGCCCTGGGTTCAATTTCTAGCACCAAAAACAAAACTGAGGAAGTTGAGTAGCTTGGATGAAAGATAATGACAGCTTCAATTGGAGGTGTCCACAACTGTAGAAATGAAAAAGTAGACAACAGGAGATAGTTTAGCAACATAAGTGCCTGCCTGACAAGCACAAAGTCCTGAGTTTGATCCCTGGTACAAAAACAAAAAACCCAAAAATAAAGAAAAAGTAGACAGCAAGCAGAAATAGAAATTGTCACACTGGTGATAATTAATTGATTGAGTGATATTGGGGGGTTGAATGTTAGGACTTCAGACATGTTAGGCAAGCACTGTACCATTAAGCCACACCTCTGGCCCTCCTCCTCCTCTTCTTTCTCCTCCTTCTCCTCATCCTCCTCCTCTTCCTCCTTCTCCTTCCCCTTCTCCTCCTCTTCTTCCTCCTCCTCTTCCTCCTCCTCCTTCTCTTCCTCCTCTTCTTTCTTCATTGAAGACAAGGCTTCACTAAGTTGCCCATGCTGGCCTTGAACTTGTGATTTTTCCTGCCTCACCCACACAACTGGGATTATAGGCATTCATCGCTGTATTCATTGAAACTTTGCTTTTGATTTTCATATTAATAGTACAAAATAAAGATTATTATTGTCATCTTATGCAACAACAAAACTGAATTTAGGATTAAGTGACTTGCCCAAGATCCCACAGCTAATAAGTGGCAGAGCCCAGGCTAGATTTCAGATTTCCTGACTTAGTACATTGTTCAGGATGATGGTCCCTTACTGCCTGTCCTCTTTGTAAGTGTGCTTAACAGATTGTTTGAGTGTCAGGGGGTGTGAGGGTCCCATGACCAGGGAAGTGAACAACCCAGCACCTGGATGTGGGTAGCCTGCTGTGATTGGGCCAGTGGCCCTCAAGGGTTCTTTATTTTGCTCCATCATTTTACTTGCAGTATAACACAGACAGTATAGTACATGATGTACACTAGTCTTAAATGTGCATCTTAATAAGAGTTTCACATATGATAAACCTATGCTTCACTATCAGTTCAAAATGTAAAGCATTTTTATAAAGTGGTTCCTTCCTGGTACCCAAGAACAGGCTGCCTGTCTGAGCACCCTCTTCTATCGCCATGCCTTGAAAAGCTTCTGTTGTGTCTCTGTCTCACAACAGAGCTCATCACTTCCACAGAGTGGATTTGGAATTGTATGTGGAGGAGCAGTGCCATATAATAGTCTAACGAAGGGGATCCATTTGACAGCTGAAATTTTTTTGTTTTTAGTTTCACATTTCTCCAGTGATTTAAATTATTAATTTTCCAAATGTACAGAGAAGGTATAGAAAATACTATTTGTTCTTTGAAGCTTTATTCAGTAATATACATAGTTTAAATTATGTGGTCACTTAGGAAAAACAGTCAAAGGCACAGTCACAGTTGCTTCTTTGCTGGTTAATCTGCAACACTATACTCTGCATCATGCTGTCTTGTTCACTCCCTGGTTAGTGTGTGGCTATATCACATCCCCATTTAGACTGTAAGTACCATGTGTGCGGTGACTGTGACCCATGTGTATTCCTGTCTCCGGGGCACTCCCCTCATTGCTGAGTGCAGTTAGGCCTCAATCTCTTTGGTTAATTTTACTTTAATTGTCACACAGTCCTTCAGGCTAATGTCAGACTTTTGACTTATGATGAAAATTATGGTAAAGTATATACTACTTGGGAAAAAAAAAACTGAAATGATCAGAACCTCTAAATTCTCCAAACTCCTATAGCAAATTTAGTCCTCCTGCTTCCAGGTGGACTCTCACTGAGGTCTTATGGGCATGGGCTTGCTCTATCTGACTTCTCAGAGCCACATGTTTAATTTTTTAGGGAGCTTTCCAGCCACGTGGAGTGTCAGGTTCTAAATTTGGATACAAGAGATAAAATTTTTCAATGTTAATTGGATATTTTATCAATCTGCTTCATACCAGTACTGTGCCTCCTGGAAAAGAAGCTCAAGATTGTTTAAAATGGGCTGCCCTTCTCTAGTGTTTGCAGAGTCATGTTTGGACGTGCAGCAAGAGCCTGTACTCTACATGGCTTCTGCAAGACCTCCATTTCCCTTGCCATAATTCTCCATTTAGTGTCACTTTCCTGCCCATGATTTTCTTTTCATTCCTTAGCATCTGCTGTATATATTGCGGGCCATTAATGCAAGCACAGAGTCAGCCTGTAACAGCTGCACTTCTAGCCTTGGTTCAGCAAAAACAGCAGAGTCCTTTCCTTCTCTAGCCCTAGAACATCTGTGATTGAAGGAACAGAGACCTTAGCTGTTACCTTGGTAGGCAGCAGGGGTTATGGAGTCTCTCTGGAAATAGAATATCCTAGTTGAATTAGAGTATATAGGTATGTTTTCTTATTCTACCCTATTTTACCTCAGCCCATTGTTAAAATGTTTCAGGTATATCTAACTGTTGCCAGTACAACTCCCCACCCCACCCCACAAGTAGACCTTAAAATAGTCCATATCTGAGACTCCCAAGACCTTCTTTGAGTGGAAAATATATTATAAAACCATTCTTTTTACCATAAGTAGAAATTTAGGTCAAGAATGCGTCTCTGTGTTTGCAAGTATAGTGAAGAGTTAGACATTTCTACCCTTTAGAGTCCTATTTCTTCTCTCTCTCCCTTAGGATACCATAAGGTAAGTTTCTTGAGTGACTTCCCCTTCTGGAATATAAAAAGTATCATCTTTCAAATTTCTTAAGCTGAATTTTGAATCACAATCAGCTTGGAAAGTCTCTATGGATCTGACTGGGCCCCATCTCTATTTTACATCTACTTGAAATTTGACATTACTTTCATATTGGCCTAAAGAAAGGACCACCTCTAATTCATGAAGGGTTTTCTTAAGTGGGGTACCCAAAAGCACCCCAGTAGGAAATATTCAGGTGTGTGTAAGAGGTATGTCTATCTGGCTTTGGCCAGATGTTCAGGAGAAGAAATTAGTAAGCAGGATAACTAGGAGTGCAGCCAGTGTCCTATGCCTTTGAAGCTATCATAGCCACAGTTTAATCTCTGTAGATTAGAGATGGTATTGTAGCAAGGTTAATGTACTGTAGTAACTATTTGAAATAATGTTTTATTTGAAAGCAGCTTATTCAGTGTATCTCCAGGAAAATAGACCAAAAAAAAGGGCTGAGGCATACCTTAGTTGATTTGACCCAATACACAATCGAAGACTGCCAGGTTACTCCATGTTAATAATAGTTGGAAGGAAGGAAGGAAGGAAGGAAGGAAGGAAGGAAGGAAGGAAGGAAGGAAAAAAAAGAAAGAAAGAAAGAAAGAAAGAAAGAAAGAAAGAAAGAAAGAAAGAAAGAAAAGTAGCTGAGAAATGTTCCAGGGCCCCTAGGCAGAAGGTTGGGTAGAAAGACACAATATTCATAAGCATCTTCATGGTTTCAGTAGCAAGTAGAACATCCTGATTCTCTTAGTGTAAGTATGGACTTCATTGGTTTTAAAATCATTTGAGAACTTAGCTCAATGCTCCTCCCAACCTATTAGCCCATCTTAGAAAGGCTGAATCATTCTGTGTGTCTGAACAGGTCCCTTGGGTTATATGTTTCTGTCCAGCACAAGACCCTTGCTTTGTGTCTATGATTGGTGGTGCCACCTTATTTCTGTCTAATGCCATTCTTGTGTCTTCCCTTAAGCCACCCTGCTGATGAAACAGGCCTGGCCACAGAACTCGTCTTCCTGTGGCACTGAAGGCACCTTCCACCTCCCAGTGGACACCGGGACCGAGAACCGAACTTACCAAGCATCCTCTGCGGCTTTCAGTAAATACAGCCTGTCTGCTCCTTGTCTTGTTCCCCTTAGTTGGGACTGATTTGTTCCTTAGGAAGAAAGGAAGGGAATTTTTTTAAACTGACATTTATAATATAAATTGTATTAAGAGGTTCTTCTACCCATATAAAAATTGGCCTTCCTCATCCAGGAAAGATCACCCTCTTTGATTATGTACTCGGCTTTGGAAAGACATAGTAATGAAGTGGGGAGGAGAAAGTATTCTAGCCAAGAAATTTGATTAGAAAGAGACTATTACTATATTTCATGGGAAAGGACAGAGAGAGGGCTTTCCCCTAAAACAAGGTTTGGAAACCTCAGCCCTGTTGACATCTGGGCAGATAATTCTTTGTAGTGGAGGAGTAGTCTGTGCATTGTAAGATGCTGAGTCCCATCCCTGCTGTATCCACTAGATGCCAGTGTAATTGTGACAACCAAAAATGTCTCAAAACATGACAAAATATCCCCTGGAGAGCAAAAATGCCCCCATATTAAACAAACAAACAACACTGCCCTAGTCACAGCTGCACTATGGGAGCAAGGTATATACATGGACAGATGCCAGCTTGCCAGTGAGATTAGTCCTATTTCTCTTCAGTGGGTAACTGATGTTATCACCTTCCCACCTATTTTTTATTACTATTATTTTCCCTAGTACCAAGAGTTGTTGAACTGAGGACCTCATACATGCTAGGCAAGCCCTTTACTACTAAGCTACAGTCCTAGTCCTTTAATTTTTTTTTTTTTTTTTTTTTTTTTCTGTGCAGTACCAGGGATTGAACTCAGGACCTTCCACTTGCCAGACAGGCGCTTATGCCACTGAGCTATGTCCTCAGCCCTTTTTTTATTTTGAGACAGGGTCTCAATTTATAGCCCTCCTTCCATGGCCTCTCAAGTAACTTAGATTACAGACATACAGCATAGCATCTGGTAATACCATTTTGTTTGCTTGCTTTGTTTGTTTGTGACAGGACCTCGCATGTAACCCATTCTGGCCTTGAACTCATGGCGATTCTCCTGCCTCAGCCTCCCAAATGCTGGAATAACAGGCATATACCATCACACCTGGCCTGGTCACATCTGAGTTTTGACAAGCCTTTTCCACTGAGGAAATAAGACCAGTGTTTAAAAACTTACTGAATATCATTTAAATTTCATATAAAGAAGAACTTTGTGCATTGTAGGAACTGTGCAGTAGAGGAATGATTAGCTTTGGATGTGGTAAGCACTTGTCCTTAAAGTGTGCCAGCAAGATGTTACAGTGAAGTATTAGTCTATTAAGTTAGTAGACTAGACAAATTTGTTGTCTTTTTCTCATTTTTTTAAAATAATGCAGTACCATTTTTTCCTTGTCATTTTTATCTCCCTATGTCAAGATCAGCTTATATAACATTGTTCACCTTGTAGAGAAAATGCTTTCCTGATCACCATCCCACTCAACACTATAGTTCTGCAGTGTTATTTGGGTAGATTTTCCTCCCACTTGAAAGCTGAGAGTCCCCTTCAGGGACCTCTTTTTTTTTGGAGATAGGGCCTCACTATGTAGTTCAGACTGGCCTTGAACTCACTATGTAGCCCAGGCTAGCCTTGAACTCCCGGTGATCTTTCTCCCTTAACCTCCTGAGTGCTGGGCTTACAGGAGTGCACCACAACACCTGGAGGGACCTCTGCGCTTGCAGCCCTAACTAGTAATTGGCCTCTGAGCCTTGGCTCACCCATCTCCAAGAACACAGTGCTCGTTCCCTCCAGAGGCAGCCGTTTTTGCAGATAGGCAGTCTGAGTAGCAGAAGGTCTTACCTTTGAGTGTGTTAAAATCTTCCTGAAATCCCATTGATATGTCCAGTAGCACCAGGCCAAGGAGCTCATACCTGTAATCCTAGCTACATGGGAGGCTGAGGCAGGAGGATCACAAGTTGTAGGGCAGACTGGGTAATTTAGTGAGACCTTGTCTCAAAATAAAATTTTAAAAGGACTGAAGATGTACCTCAGTGGTAGAGCACTTTCCTAAACATGTGCAATGCCCTTAATTCAATTCCCAGTGCTAGAAAAAACAAAATAGAAATGTCAGTAGCTATATTCCACTGTCTCATCCTGAACAGACTGTCATGGTTCTTGGAAAGGACCAAAATGTATCCCTGTCTTTCAAGCAAATAAATAAATAAA